CTTTTTTGCTTTTAAAATACCCTGACAAGATTTTGGTGTGAATTATTACTGTCATAATCTCAAGAATTCAAGTAAAATACATATTTCTTCATGTTGTCTGCGCTGAAATGAATCATGGGATATGCAGTTCCTGATGTTTATTAGCTATTGCTACTATAAAACAATACATTTAAGCAAAGGATTTTGTAATTTGAGATATTGTGACAGGCAACAATATTATTGTGAGACTTTTGACGATACGATATCATGATATTTTAGTTGTTGTTACATCCTTACAATATTACCCACCAGTCTAAGTTTTTTTCATGATATGCCACATATTGAAACATAGACCACATGAAAGGCCGTAGACACCCGTAACTTAAGTTAAATTATTGCAATGAACCCATATATTTTGGATCATGTTATCAAGACATTGTATTCTACAGGGTTAGGTATTGTATGACATACACATAATTGCGTCCTCTCCACTGTGATGATTGCTGCGCTTCTATTCATTGATTTTGAAGCCCACATGGATCTGCTCAATACAACCATTTAGCCGTAAACGCTGTCCCGGGAACACAATTTGCCCAGTGGTCCTTTACATCTTGACAATAGCAATTAGCTTGATACATCAGAAACCAAAAAGACTCCCAACAGACCACTTCACCACCTCAACAAGTGAAATCTGTATGACAATGGGCATAATATAGATTCATGCATTCAAATACCCATAATGCACCTGTCTTGATGTATGAATCTTGAATGTAAAATTGTCCAAACATGATTTATTAGCACTGTGTTGATAATACTGACGGTGCTCATTGTCAGAAGTCTAACTCTAATACACTGGGAAAAAGTGAGGCAGATGAATAAGCATAATGGATGTTACTGATTAACATACAGGATGGAGCGAACGTCATGCATAATTCACTTTATACAAAATATGGACATGCGTTCATATGCTCAATTATGACACGGTTGGTTGGCAAGTCAAGCTAATTTGATAATATTAAAAATAATCTTGAAATCAGGCAAGACCAGGCCCAGATTAAATAACACATTTTTATATAATGCTTTTGCACCTTCAAGGCACTCAGCGCTTTACAACAAGAAACCACTCACCCACTCACACACACATTCATACACCAGTGTACACAGACTCAAGGGCCCAGGTGGGTTAAGTGCCTTGCCACGACAGCATTCACCTGTGGGAGCTAGAATCACACCGCCAACCTGTGGGTCAGTGGATCTGACCGCTCAACCAATTATGTTTTTCGGGTCGAGAGTGAGACCTCCGGATCAGTGGACAAACGCTCTACCAACTGAGCTACTGCCGCCCGACTTTTTCTATACCCAACTTGGTATAGAAAAAGTGTGCACTCACTTTTGGTCTTCTCAGTTGGTAAAATAAACATTAACATTAATTTTAATGTTTAATTCCTATTTCATGCGTACAGAGACAGAGATAACAACAACAAATGAGGTCAAATCTGTTAAAGGGCCCATATTACACTATTTGATCTATGTTATAATGTTGTTTCCTCATCAAAAACATACCTCGAGTTGTATTTTGTTTCATTCACACATGTTTAACACGCAAATCCTGCATATTTAGGGTGAATTTTCTTTTCTCAAATGGAAAACACTGTTACACTTTGTGATGTCATGCGGTAATAGAGGAGGTACACCTTCACTACAATAATTTGGATAATTTCAGCCCTGGAATTTCCCATCTCCATTAAACAAAAGGTAAAAAGGTAGCACTAACTACTAACTACCAATTTCACATTTGGAGATGTAGACAGACTAATAACACATGATTACTCAAACATGTGTGAATGAAACAAAACACAACTCCAGGTACATTTTTGAGGAGGTAACAGCACTCTAACATGGCCAAAAAAATCTAAATGTACCACAGCACTCTGGCATGCCCTTTAGCTCAACATTTTAACCCAAACTAATTGCCCAGGGACCAGTGTAATTTAGAAAATGGAAAATGTAACAAGTTAAAGAAAAAACTGCGACATTTGCCAAACAGCATGCATGAAGTTCACTCCAGGGGAATCTAAAATAGTTTACTTCTCCCTGGAATGTCCTCTATGGTCCCAGAGGGAGGCCCATGGGAAGTAACAGCAGGGTTAGAGTAAATCTGTATAGTCTCACAAACAGAACGTACATCTAAATTACCGTTTGTATGTAATGAGATTCTGTCGAGGTGAAATACTCCACTTTCAGCTACATGCACTGAAAGGTTAACATAAATTCAAACTTGCTGTCAGCAGATATTGGCTTTTTTGACAGATATGTGCATAGATGATAGATACAATTTTTCTTATACTTTTAAAAAATTTATGGTGTTTTCCCTGTAAAATTCCACCCGAAGCTAATTTAAACCCACGATATATATGAATCACACATCTCAGAATGTTTAAAAGTCCTTTTTGGGGAAGGTTTTTCCACCTGCTTGTCTTTTAATAGATTTGTCTGAAATGTTCCACAGCATGGCATTAAATTTATCTATCTTCATGGAGACAAGCAACTGCCATTAGGTCAAGTTACAAGTCAGATCTGTGGATAACCTGTAGACAATCATGGTGACTGTGAGGATTAGGGCTGGGTATCATTAAGAAGTTGCTGATACGATATATACCTCAATACACAAGCCACGATATGATACATATCTCGATACAGTGAGCTTATGATTCAATACGATATATTTCAAATCGATTCGATACAGTTCAATAAAAAATAATGGCTAAGTCATGGCTGTGATACTAAAAGTCTTTGTTAAACCACTTCTTGTGCAAAGTTCATATGAAACACAAACATTTTAATCATTGAAACAGTGAAAATGTCAAATGCTTAATATATTTTTAAGTAACAAGAAAAACTTGTGAATGAACAAACGTTTGAAACATTCAAAATGCAGAGAAGGTTTCATCGGTGGTCATCTGGACTCTGTTTTTGCGGTCAAGATTTTTCGGCTCCCGTCCAGAAGCCATTTTCAGTTAATGGTACTGGTTTGAAGCACTGATGTTGTAACAGCCAGCACACAATAGAGACATAACCACCCATAATGATGTTTGCTAGTTGTAAATAAGGTGGGGCAGTTTCACACTAAAACTTCTCCTTTTTGGGCTTGGTCTTAGTTAGTCAGAGTAGGGTAAATTCCCAGTGCTCCTCAAGCCAGAACCATCAACTCAAAATGGCTTCTGGGTAGGAGCCGAAACATCTTGATCGTGTCCAGATGACCTGTGATGAAACCTTCTCCACACTGAATCACTCCTGGCAAAATAATAATATCCCTATGGTAGTGGACACTAAACTAGAAAAGTTACATAATGTGGACCATTAAATTATCACCAGCAAATACAGAGTTATTTCCCTTCTGTGTAAGGATATAGCATGATTCGTTCGGCTGGTTCCATAACATCTTTTATTGTCTATTATAAAAGGAGCTGCACGTTGTTTGCTTAATAGTGGCAGCGTAACCTTAATTGGCTCAGGTTGTTAGTGTCAGCTCAGTGTTTGGTTAGTGATGCTCCACCAGTGACCTTTTTAGAACCAGCCCAAAGCTTGTAGTCTGTCAGCACAGGCTGGAACAGCAGCTGGACATGGCATTAAGGATCAGGGAGATATGGAGGAGTTATTGTTAGCTTTGCTTGGTAGATTTTTCTTTTTATATATACTATAGGATTCGATTTTTTTTTTTTTTATTGAATTATATTTTTGTCTTATTAAAAACAAATAAACTGCTTTCAACATAAATTATGTGAACATTTTATTGTTTGTTTTTAAAGCTTTGAATGGACTGGCCCCATAATACATCTCAGACTTCATCTAGATTTACCCCCCCGCACGCTCTGGGGTCCGAGGGCCAGCTCTGGCTTGTGGTGCCTAAGACGAGACTTAAAACCAGAGGGGACAGGGCCTTCACTGTGGTTGGCCTTAAGCTCTAGAACACTCTGCACCCCGACGTCCAAACAGCCCCCACCGTGGAGTGTTTTAAGTCTCGTCTTAAGACCCACTTTTACTCTCTGGCTTTTAACACCGTGTGAGTTGTGTGGTCCTTTGTGCCTTTTACTCAATTTAATTTATTTATTTTTATGTTCTTTTTTTTAAAATCATTTTTAGCTTTATGCATTTCAACACTTTTTATTCATTTTATTCATTCATTTATTTATGATTTACTATCTTTTATTGTATTAATTTGTCTGTGCAGCACTTTGGAAATTGTCATGTTTAAAAAATGTGCTAATAAATAATGTGGCTTGGGCTGAAAGTGGATTGAACATCAATAATACAGACTTTGTCATTTAGCACAAAAAAATTCAGTTTTGTTCTTCCCAAACCAGAGGATTTTACTGACAGAGGATTGGTTGGAGACCTCACTATTAAAAAGACCTAAGAAATGACTGAATCTCGATTAAAATTCAATTCAATGCAGAGCTCCAGCTGAAATAGTAACGTTTGAAAGAAATCATGATTTTTTAAAAAGCGTGCATGTAGAGGTTAAACTACACGGCTCTTTGGTTTTGTACATCAAGAGAGCCCATGGAGACTGAGTATTAAAAGCTCTGACCCTGCTAAAAGCTGCACAATGTAACAGGTACTAGAAAAAGAGTTTAGAGGATAAATTCAGTGATGCACACAAGCACTAATCTACTGTACTCTTTAAAATGAAGATACGGCTGCACTGAGGTCACTCCACCATCAGACAGAGCTGTGTGGCTTTTTATAATAGGCCTGTGGGGGATTAGACGGATCAGAGGCAGGTGGATGTGACAGCCTGTCATATTTGAGGTTATATTATGCAACTGCTTACACGTGTTTCAATATACACCTGCAAATCTGATGCAAACATTCTTTAAAACAAACAGTGCTCTAGAATCTCAAGCCTATGCAGAAAAAAAATACACAAAATACTAAAGGTATAAATTAGATTATTATAGAATTATAGAATGTCAAACGTGAAAAGCTTTTAGATCGTTCAAATAAGTCGAGACACTCACCTATGATGCAGACATAAAAGGCTGCCACTATATCGGCTTCTGGGGAGAGTCGGGAGGCGAAGGGGTCTCCTCTGAGAAGGTAGTGAGGGACGTACGCCTGGTGCCACGTTTCGTTCTCCATCAGAGTGCGACCTACACACACAAAACACATTACTGTTTCATCACATGTACTTTTTAACTCTACATGACAAACAGTGAGACTAGTTTTACATGTTTTGACTTTGATTTTTTTATGGTTTGGTATGGTCTTTGGAACTTCTGGAGGAGGGCCTGCCAGCCTGTTTGTCTCCATGGAGATCATATTGCTTTGCCTACAATGTTCTACAGTATGGCATTAAACTTATCTATCTTCACAGGGAAAAGCAGGTGGCACCAGGCAGATCTTTGAAAAGGCGATCCCACTCTCTATAAGAATCCATGTTGTTCAAGGTTCAATTGAACAATAAAATAAAAACACCTGTAAAACATTTTAGAAAAAGCAATAATGTCTCAATAGTGGCAGACCCCCCTGCTGGAAACTTACATTAGATAAGTTTTAACATTAAAGTTGCACTATGTAACAATTGGGCTGACCTGTGCTGGTGCATAAATGGGGTAAATGGGGTCAAGTTGACATAACGCTACACAGCAAAGCGATATGGTGATAAAATGCATCCACATGAAAGTAAAGTGTACTTTATGTATTATTCATCCTTGATAATACCCCTGTGTTTATTCAGGAGATTGCACAAACCTGCCATGGTGTCATACAGGGAATGGCAAAATTAGGTCATATTTCCTCCTTGTGGAAGAAGCAGACCTTAAAGGGCCCATATCGTGCTATTTTCTTATTTAAGTTATAATGTTGTTTTAGCATCAAAACGTACCCGGAGCAGTTTTGTTTCATGCACACATGTTGGCAGGGTTGGGGAGTAAAGGATTACATGTACCAGCGTTACGTAATCAGAGTACAATTTATGAGTAACTGTATTCAGTTACAGTTACCGTTTCCATGAGTGGTAATTGGATTACAGTTACTTTTGAAATAAATGGATTACACAGCGGTATGTTCCTGTTTTCACATTTTGGGCATTTCTCCATCAATAATATTTTTAATATGGTTACGGAAAGACTGGACTTTTTATTGTCTTTTAGCAGACAAAACATCTTCATTTTGCTTCTCTACAGCAAGCAGTTGCCTGTTCATGGAGACTTGGGCTCAACAGACAATTTGAAGAGAACAAACAAGAATTTGCAGGATGTGGTTGCTACATTTATGTAGTTTTAAAAAGAATGACAATATCAAGTAATCCAAAGTATTCAGATTATGTTACTCACTTTAAGTAATTTAATGGATTACGTTACAAACTACATTTTGGGTTATGTAATCTGTAATCTGTAGGGGAATAGGTTTTAAAAATAACCTTCCCAACACTGCATGTTGGTAATATAGGAAGTGCTTTGCTATGTCTTCAGTAGAATCATTTGGATGATTTCAGCCCTGAAATTGCCAATCTCTACTGAATAAAAGGTGAAAGGTAGATGTTAACATGAAAACTACGGAGCAAAAACACTATAATATAGACAGACTTATAATAAAGGGTTACACAACTCCAGCTTTGTTTTTGATGAGGTAATGACATTATAACCTGGCTTAAAGCTCACAATACACAATATAAATAGTTCATCTGCCATTTTGTAAATGTTCATGGTGCCTTCTTATTTCAATTTTTCATTTGGACAGACTGGAGCTTTTGAGCACTCCTGACTGTCCAATTCAAAATTACTTAGTCTGTTGGGCATAACATAATTTGTAGAGAGGCTCCAACCACAGCATAATGTTTTTGTGTCACTTGCCTCTCTTGTGTATGAATGTGTTTTGTGTGTAGTGAGCAGTGGTGGTGTAATGGCTGAGATTTCCGCTATTACAACAGCTGTACTACACCATGGCGTAATAATAATAATAATAATAACAATAATAATAGTAACCTACAGCCTCAAGCGTTACGTAAAGTGATGGTTGTAGGCTGCCATTATAAGGACTTTGGCTGTGCTGCTCTTAACAGCCTCCGATTTTCTCTTCTTTTCTTTTCTCTCATATTACAATCAACCCAGCGCCTAAGATCTATTCAGTTTAAACCACCCTCATTCACTCTTCCCTCACAATACAGTTTTATAATACAGAAATGGCCTTCAAACCATAGACATGTCATCTTTCTTCACAAATAAAAGGTAGATCTAGGATTTAGGCTGAGATAGAGCAGAAAGATTCACTCTGAATCAGTAGCTCCTGTGAGGTAACTGGTCCATAGGGAGCGGCGGTGAACTGATGAGTAGGTGACGAAGGGAAGGCTGGTGTGCCCTGCGTGAGCTATGTTCAATTTAGGGCTGATGATAATGGAACAAAAACTGGGTCATATTTATCATTATGAATGTTTGAAATATATGTACTGCCAACAGTTAAGCTTTGCCATTATCCTGAATAGAATTGTGCTGTTTTTAACATCATTATTACTCAATTTATGTAATTAAATTTGAGCATTTTTTGTGAACGTGCCTCCTTTGGTATAGCCAGGCTGGTGCCACCTAGTGCCTCTGCTCAATTTCATTTCTCTCCAGCAACTAGGTCAGGTTTCTACGAAGTGAAACCGGCTGATGACTCAGGCTACATTTGGTAGTCCTGTATGGTAACAACAATTTCCGAATAGATTCAAAACCAGGAAAATGCTTGCAGATGATCAGGTTTATTTTGTATATTTTTTAGGTATATTAAAATGTTGCAGTCAACTGAAGAGCCAACCAATATGGAACCACTACTACACTGGCAAAAGGTGACAACAACAGGCTGTGGACAGAACAACAGAAACAAGGTTGGATGATAATAGGGGAGGGAGAGAGGGGGTTGGGGGGGTCGATGATGGTTAATGAGGCAGACTCTGGAGAGACACTTCACAATGGAAACTGCGTCTGAGTGCAGAGGATTATACCGTAGGCGGCTGAATTTCACCAATGGGAGATGACAACTATAACGATACAGCTCACATATTGGCAGGGGAAAGCAAGTTTGCTTCTAGACGCACAGTCTGTACACAATGTAATTAAAAGTGCTTGAATATAAAACTTAAGTCAATGAAAACATGGTGATCAGTGAACAGAGGAGTGTAAATAAAATGTGTTTTTGCCAGAATAAAAGGTGTGTCTGACACTCTTTCAGATTTGAGCTGCATAAAACTGAAATCCCCATGTTTGGTCAGACCCCTACATAGGGTGGAGTATCTATCAATAATAGAGAGTTAACTTTGCTTTATATACTGTATTTTGCAGCTCACTAATCTAAACCCACAGAGACCAAGTTAGACTGATGGAGGATTCGAAGGAGGCTCACCTGGACACAGACTCCATAAAATCTAGAACAGCAAACTTTAAAGTACAGAGCCGTAATGAGTTTCTGTTCTCTTTGGTCCTCAGGTCCAATTCAATTATAAAGTCAGTATATATAATAACACTAAACGAGCTGTCCCGAGCCTGCACTGAGACAGCATATTCAATCTGCTTTGTCAATTAACTATGGACTGTAATATTGTAATACAAATCTGTTACATCAAGTTTACACAAGTTTAAATTAATAAAAGTTTATGTTCAAGTGAATGTGAATAGTTTACGATGAAATGTATTGAACCCAAATAGCTGGAAGAGAAAGTATTCAACAGGAACCAGTTTAACAGTTTAAAAAAGCTCCATCAAAATCAAATTTTGATTTGTAGTTTTTTGAGGAGAAACATCACTTTTTAACAAACATTCACTAACTAAGACAAGGACCAAAATCACTTCCATTGTCTACCATGTTCCCCAAAGTTTTTCTGAGTTAAGATGTTATTTTGCTTCTAATTCCCACCTTTTTTTTTTTTTTTTTCCTTCTAGCTCTAATCTGATCCTGATTATGTTTACCATTAATTTACCAGCATTAAAATTTTACTATAGTGGCACAGGAGACCCTAAAATGTATAATAAAATTTTTGTAGAAGTAATATCACATAGCGCTAATGATGATAACACATTTTGAATTGTGATATATTGAGTCAAGTAAACATAGACGATAAGCAATAATACTGAAACTAATTTATGCCACTGACACAAAAACAGAAAAGCATTTAAACCAAAGAAACTATTCTACATGTGAAATATTGTTAAAAAATAAAATAATAAAATGAGCTGCAATTAATAAAGAGCAGAATAAAACACTCTTATTCAGTTTGCAAATGTAGAAGGTATTAATTCAACCTTTTATGATTTAAGTCTTATCATCATATTGAAAAGAAATAATACTGACCCCCAACAAATATAGTTCCAGCTTGCAGATACTGAACGAGAAGTCAATATAGTAATTATCGTGACAGGCCTACATAGAACTACACTGATATCCATGCACTAGGATGAATGAAACATGATAAACCAGGATACCAGGATTTCTAACGCTGCCTTCAAGTCCCTGTTGTATCACCGCACAAGAAACATCAATAATAAGATAAGCTAGACCACGATGAAGTGACGACTGAGTGATGAAAACCAAACCTTCCACTAGGTTTAGGGTGAGCATGAATCAATGAGAGCACCATTGATTCAAGTATAGTGTTCATTTTTAACACTACACACATGATGATTGCTTCAATAAATCTAAAGGCTTCTTGGTTTCATCTTGTGTGTCAAGTTTCTAAGTTAAATGAGAACATCAAGAAACTAAAGAAAAGTTGTGTAGTAGTAGAAGTAGTAGTAGTAGTAGTAGCAGCTTAAATGCTTTTTCCCCAAAGGTATCAGCATCACAGTTAAAATGTGTGTGAGATAATAGTGCTACAAAAATCATGACTGAAGAAAAAGATTATACTGTCAACCATTTTAGTATAAACTTTTTTGAACCATATTATAAAGCAGTGATAATATGCAATAATGCAATACCACTTCTATTATTACAATGAATGAGTCGGTCCTTATTTCATCTTATTTATTTATTTTATTATTATTCTGGGTTCTGGGACTGACTGAGGGTGACGGCCTTGTCTGCTTTGCTATATTAGCAAATAAAAGCTTTGTGTATGTAATATTGCAGACTTGTTATAGGCAAAGTGTTCTGGGAGTATTCATACCAATGGTAGTGCAGTACTATTACAGTCCCCCACTTACTGTAGATCTTGTGTCCTCATATAGTCTGTTTGGGGAACTCAGAGGAGTGTGAAATAGAGTTAAGGAATGCGACCATCGGAGCAGTCACTCCAATCACACCATGACACTTCTGCATGTTTACAGAGAGCAGTCCACTGTGGGGTTTATAGGACTCCATTTTCAACAAATAAAATTACAGTATTGGTTGTCACTGTAGCATTAGACATTAAAAAAATGTCTGGGAAAGAGTGCTGTTTTTACAATATAAATGATACAAAGAAGGATACATTAAGGATTTGATTTTATTTTGATTATTGGATCACTCGAAAAAATATTGCAGTAGCCAACAATGATGTCACAAAGGGCCATGGGTAAAACAGAAAAATACAATGTGTCTTTTCAAAAACCAAAGAGAAGATCTCTCAATACTGACTTCATAAACTTAAGTCGGAGCCATTGAACACAAATTAGGCATATTTCTCCCTCCAAAGTCGTAGCTCTCCAAAGCACATGCTTTTACTTCCACAAGATTGGCTGTGGATCTGCGGATTAAAAGTCTCCAGTATCACGTATCCCATCTTGATTTGATTAATACAATATCATTCATTTCCCAGACCCACTCGAGAGCTCCATGGTCACAGTTTGTGGTCTCCGTAAAGCTGTTTTAGCCTGTTGTTGCCGTTCTGAATATTTGTCAGGGATATTTATTTTGAGTAAGTAAATCCTAAATTAAAAAGTTTGAATTTTTTGGTAGAAATTGCTGAAGCTGTGAAAAATAACAATAAAAACATGTCTTGTCACAATATTGAAACTTCAAACTAGATTTTGATACTAAGGAATAGACTAAATACTCAATACCGATTCTAATAACACAATGATAATAAAAACACTATTTAATCAACAGAATGTGATTTTCAGCATTAAATAATAAGTACAGATAAGTTCCATAATGGTCCATAGGCATATTACACTCTATGTGGTCTCACCTCAAGATTATTCTGAAGCTGTTTTAAGAACGGTTCATTTCTGTCCTGTGTATGTGACTTTTTTGTATTGATACAAAAATATTGATACTGATACTAGTTTTAGTAAAGATTAGTATTACAATATCATGTCAATACGTTTATAGATTGCAGGTTGAATCCATCTAGCTGAAACCCCAAAGGTTCATCTTGATGGTTTGAATCAGCAAACTTTGGAGAACCCTTTGGAGAATCTACTCCAGATGGTCCATAAAAACTGCAGCTCTTCGGTGTATGCAAATTACAGTTAAAAACATTCATTGGTGTATATTAAAGACCTGTGGTATTTTTAAAGTGCATACACTTTCACTAGAATCATTACAATAATTTGCATCCCTGTGATTGCCAAACTTTTAAGCTACATCTTTTCTTCCCCAAGCAGATAATTATAGACATTTTTGGCAATCTCAACTGAAAGGTAAAATGATTTATGGTCATTCTAGTATAAACAGAATGTAAACAGGTTCAGCTGAAGCTAAATAAAAAGCTAAAAACAGCTTTAAAGGTGCATTGCGTAACATTTCTAGTGGAGAGTCCGCCACCTGCTTGTCTCCATGGAAATGTTATGGCTTGTCTAGAATGCTCCACAGTATATAGCTTAAAAGTATCTATCATAAGGGAGACAACCAGGATACAGCACTACACTCCTTTACAATGCAGATCTGTGGAGAGTCGCCCCATTCACACAAGGAATCACTGTATTTTTGAGCAATAGAAAAATGAAGAAATGCTAGACAAATATGTTTAAAGTCATAACATGGAACATTCCAGGACAAGCAAAAACATCAACATCAGACAGGAAGGTGGAATGAGGTGGAACAGAGTAGTTGTAGACATCCTAATAATGCACGATTACTCAAAAGTATGAAGGAAACAAAACAACTCTGAGTGGTAGCAGTGTTATAACATGGCTTAAAGCAATGTTATGGAGTTAGAAGAGTTGGTTTCGCAATAGGACTATTAAGTAGTGCTGTGTGCATAATACTCACAGGTTCAGTCTCACACAGTGTAAACAGTAAACTGCAAAGTTGAACAAAATTAGGTTACTTAGCCCCGACAGCTTCAGCAAAGGTTTATGGCTTTCTTTACATCGCTGGTCAGCTGAAAGCACCATATGATGTCAGAAAACGAGTGGCTAAAATGTATTAATTGATATGGATCTGTTCGTTATACCGAGATCTAACCTACTGCCACATCTGAGCAGGAAGAGCTTCAAAAAGACTACAAATATGGACTACAAAAATCTGCATCATCAAACATCAAAGGTCCCGAGTAATATATTCCATACTGTAGATATGAGTTTGGCTGATATGTTAACACCAGCTGTGAGGGCGCAGCTCCACACCACACAACTCTATAGGGGGCAACAAAATACACCAGCAGGGGGCACGCGGTGTACAACAGGGGGCAAATGAAGACTCAGAATATGAGCATCAAGAGTAGATGGAATAGGCTGCTTAAGGCAAGCAGAAGCCCATGGGAAAACAAAGGCAATAGAGCTGTGATATGTTATATACTGCAGGGACGGTCTGTTTGAAGGTTTGCTTAAAGGTCTGTTTACCCTGTGGAGCACTCATATATTCCCATACTTATGTGAGTGGGCTAAATCAGTATGTGGTAAGTGTATATGTTGGAGGACAAATAAAGCCTTATAACTTTTAAGTAAGATGAAAACATGTAAAAGTGGTGTCTAATTGGTGTGCGAGTGTGAGTTGCCAGAAAATGTCACAGTTTTGTCTTTAAAATTATATTATGCAAGTCCAAATTATAGAGCAGAGTTCAAGATGTAATCATAAGTTTTGAGAAGTTTGGGTATGTTTTTTGTTTTGTTTTTCTACTAATAACCCAATTAGCCTTTCATTTCCTTTCATTACAGGTGTTTTACTGTAAAAATAAACATGGATTCTTGCTGTGAGCAGAGCAGCAAATCTAGTATCAGTAGTGTTCCGATTGCTAAGAAATAAATGGTGACATCAAGGAACCACTCACCCATTCACAACACATTCACACACCAGTTTACGCCAACACTGGGAGAGAGGTGGGTTAAGTATCAAAAGACACAACAACATTTATTTGTGGGGGCTGGATTTGCACCGCCAACCTGTGGGTCAGTGGATCTGACAGCTCTACCAATGACAAAAGCCGGATTTGAACGCCAACCTTTGGATCAGTGGATAAACCCTCACCAACTGAGCTCCTGCCACCCCAAATATAGGGATAACAGTTTTTAAAAGAATAAAATTAATTCCATCATTGCCAAGGAGCTTAACAACATTTCAGAATTGCTTCACATGTTACTATATATGCTAACACGTGATATTTCCAATACCACGAGGACTTGTAACTGTCATGTTGCTATTGATCTGCAGAAGCATGAACAAAGACCATCCCTACATCCAGTGTTGTAGTGGGGATTTTTAAATGGGGTACGCGATTTGTGACGTCATCGATGACGCCCGCCCACCTGTCCTGGGACCACTCCTGGTCCCTCAGGTCCCAGGTCACTAGAGGACAGTACTGGAGATAATGAGCCTATGCAGTTGTTTTCACCATTGCCAATAGCTCCAGTTTGACATTTAAGTTGTAGGCTATTTTATTTTTGTTTTTTGTTTTTTTTATATCTCACGTCAGGAGAAGAGGGTGGATGGAGCACCCCCGAGTATCAGACTCACTACACCCCTGCCTACATCCACATGAGCTATTCCACAGCATAAGGAACAATACAATACAGCAATACAACAATCAATACTTTCCAGCAGCAATATAGAAAATGTAGCTCTTTGAAAGTCCCAACTCACACTGACAACATAACAAAAGACGAGACTGGCTGATCAAGGGCTCAACCACTTTGAAAGAATGTCATTTTTTATAAGAATGGTGAAGATGTGATATGTTTTGAAAGCAGGATTCACTTCACAGTGTGCATTTAAAACTCTTAGGAGCACTCAATTTAAGATTATGGGTTTGCAATATATAGAATTTTAATCAAATCGAGATCCAATCATCTCATATCGTCAAAAGCTGCAGCCACGTGCACTTAAAACCAGATTATTAGCACATTTCTTAGAGCCAAAAGACTTTTAAAATGAAGTGTAAACAGCAACATCATCTGATTTCTTTCTGTTCATGATTGCTCTGATTACTCACATCAAATCGTGCAGTTTGCATGTCCTTCTTGTGATTCGGGTCATATCTTAACTCCAGTCATTGCGCGAGTGCAAGCGTGGGGCAAACAAGAGGTGAGCTGTGCCTGAAGTTCGGGTGGAGTGGAGCAGATGGAGGGCGTGGTGTGACGCGTTCAGTGAACTGCCAGAATCGTAAAAATAAATATTATACTACTTCACTGAAAAACATTACGCGTAACATACTGTATTCGAGGCATAAAAATCCTTTTTTTATTTTTAAATATATGATAAATGCTTAACATTCACATGTTGTTAGGGATGTTCGTGCTCCAGGTGCCCTCCCGCAGCAGAGCACAGCCACGCGCTGCTCTACAGTTTGGTTTGATCACAGTCTGTAGAAAAGCTGCTCATTCACAGGCCGTTTTCAGTATTACCCTAAAGTTTGTTTTCTTACCCGGTCTGCAGGGCACTGCTCAAGGCGCGGCACCACCTTCTACAAGTGCAAATGTAATGGTTTAATCCACGTCCGTGTGCATAGTTGTAAAATCAGAAACATCAATATGACAATAAACATATTCCATAATTCGCAGACTTGTTTGGGACTAAATGCAGAGAGCATCTGTGAAACAAGTGAGCGGTCAGCAGTGCAGCAGTGGAAACTGTAAGGCGTCCCTCAGGTGAGAGACACGGGACTGACGGGAGCGGGTGAGACCAGAGTAGAGAGGAAATGAGAGGCTCAGGTGTAGGATGAGGAGAAAGACACCTGTCTGCTGTAATGGGAATCAAAAGAACAGAGGAACGCAGAGAAAACTATGGTTGAAGTGAGTGTGAGCGCGCGCGTACGTGAGAGGGGCTTACATGCGCATTGAGTATAGTTCTGTGCCACGGCCCATCCAAAATTCTATTATCCCCATATATATATATATATATATATATATATATATATATATATATATATATATATATATATATATATATATATATATATATATATATATATATATATATATTTCTTCTCTTTTTTTCCCCACAGCCCTCTATGCTGCCTGATAATGAAGCAAAGATTGCAGACATTACCCAGTGGCAGTGCTTTTAAATGCTACAGCGGTCACAGATTGTTTCAGATGCCATTGCCATCATACATGTACGTGTACCGTCCCACTCCAGCCTCCAGCGGCCAAGTACAGTCAGACTTGGACACGCCCCCTCGTTAACACTTTTACGCTCGCGCAAAGACTGATGGCAAGACTTGGCCCTAATGGTGTTGAAGGCAAACATGAAGCAGATTCTGGTCAGCTTGTTACCGCAGCCACTGATAAGCATGTGGCTTTTTAATTGACAGGTTCACAGTTAATTCTCTGTCTATATCAGCATGAAGTTTGGAGTTTAGACTTTGTAGGAAGAAATTCTACTTTTTTACTTACTTTTTTTTTTTTTTTTTTTTTTTTTAGTGAATGACTAAATGATTAAATGACTCTAATAAATTTATATTAAAATCCGTATGTAAACATTTTTATAGAAGATTGTCCATTTTGCTGTTTGCAACATTAGTTTACTTTAATAATTGCCGCTTATAAGCGAGCTGCAAACTGTCACCCCATGAAAATGTGTATTCATCTGTAGTTTAAATTCTGTAGAAATGACACTTGTTGTGTTGTTTATCTTAAAAAGGAAAAAAGAAAAGAAAAAAGAATCAAGGTCCAAACCTAAATCAAAGCTGCAATAAACACTAAACATGGATTAAACTAAATGGAAACTCCGCACTCAGCCAAATGATTACAGGAAGATCCAACTGTTCATGGTGAAATCAAGACTCTAGACTTGAAAACTCTTCACTATAAACACCAGAGCTACACAATATTAGGAAAAGTTAAATTGAATAACTATATTTCAATTCAACCAACACTATATTATCTTCATGTCCCATGTAGCCTATCTCTCACACATGGGATTCACACAGAATCCAGTGACACACATGAAAACACGGTAACCTTCAGCATTCACCGATCCATCTCAACCACAAGCAATCCATCTGCACTGGCCTCTCTGCTGACCCCTGAAATCATGCGTCCTCTTCTCCTGCGCACTGAGCGATAAAGAAATCAGCTCTAAATCAGAACAACACATAAAGAATCATCTATAAGCACGCACGTGGGTTCACCAGCTGCTGCAGTGTATGTCTACGCGTTAACTTCATTTGACAGTTATATCCTCATATATCCTAGAAATGCAATATCATCGCGTTACTTGACAATTCAAATCATGTCATGCCAGCACTCACACGCTCGTGCAATCTCAAGTGGACTTAAAACGCTATGTTCAGCCACGTTTTGTTTATTTCCACTTATTAAAGTTACTTATATTTTGTTCATATTACTCTTTTTATCAAATCAACAAGTGCACGAGTAATATTGGTAATAAACTGCGTAAACTCACTTGTTGCAAAGATGCGCTTGGTCGGGTTACTTGGTGATGTTCCGTGTTTAACATGCACACTAGACAACAACATTTTCTAACCAAGATCCAATGAAAATACTTTTGCGTAAAAAGAAAACCACAATTTGGATTGAATTTGCGCGTCTTGGAGAAATCAAGTGCAGCCGAAACTAATTGCTTCAGTGTTACGCAAAGTTTCTAATTCTGATCGTTCCCATGCCGTAAAAGTAAATTAATTAAAATATCAATTAGACATTCAAATAAAGAGAGACCTCTGAACTCACCTGATCATCGGGCTGCAGTCATTGTAAAATATTGGTCCCTCCAGTCCACGAAGAAGAGACTCCGTAAATATGGGAGGAAGAGCTCGGTAAAACGCAGTCTCGTGTGGTAAAGCTGTTATTAAAGTTGAGTGATAGTCCCGCTGGAACCCGTGTCTGTCTGATCTCTGTGCGGAGAAGAGCCGCAGTTTTGGTCCTCTCTCCTGCACAGTTTATACGGACTCACGTCAAAACATACGTAAACAACTCGTGCGCATCCGGGTGGGCGTTTCAAAGTAAAACCCAACCCGCTGCTTGTAAGTGCCATACGCGTAAAGGGTTTGCATGGATTGGATTTTAATGATGTTGGCTGCTTGACAGTGTTGGATAATCTTTCTTCTGGTCCACAGTAATTGCCTCCAAACTAAACACATTTCAATCCAGATGCCCTTCTTGGAGCCCACAGCCCTTGTTCTAATGTTTGTCCTTAATGCAGCTCAAATGTAATCATAAAAAAACATTATCTTTATGTTTTCAGGAAAGTTACTGCTTATAAGGAAATTTAAAACACTTAAGTCCACACTAAAAAGTTTTAAAGCACCCAGCATAACTGAATAAAAAGTTTACTAGGCAGTGTTGGGAAGTAAACAAATACATGTGCCGATAAGGCATTCTGAAAACGAATTTTGAGTATTTCAGTAGACTTACTCTTTAATTTGGTGGTACAGAGTTATTTTTCTAAAAAATTAAAGAAATACATGGCAGTACTTGACACAATTTAGGCTTCAAATTGCACATAATTAGTGAGAAAAACATAAAATACTCCTCTTGTGGTTCATGCAAATGTGATTTTCCCTTCTCTGATGAGTGCTAAATAGATACAGAACAAACAAACAAACATGAAGCTGTTTTTAATCCTACGTTGCGTTTTTACTCTATAATTTAATACAACTTGATGTAAAAGTATTCAGAATAGAGTACTCTAATTGGCCCATGTATGAATATGTTACAAAATACATTTTAATATACTGTAACTAAATATATTTTCAAAGTTTTTCCCATCATTGGCTATAGACCTGACAGAGGAAGTGGCGACCAAATTGATATTCCTCTAAAAGGTACAGAGATGTCATTCAGGACAAATATTGCACAACATTCATCACAAAGAGAAAATCTGCTCCATACTAGATTTGGCGGCACATTTTTCTGTATCAACTTCTCTAGGGATTATTGTTATGTCTCTCTTACAATTTAAAGGAGAATTGTGTAACTTTTCTGGTGGAGGGTACTTTAAATGCCTGTCTTCATGGAGATGTTATTGCTTTGTCTGGAATGTTTCACTGTATGGCAGGGATACTCGTTGCGCAACTCGTGAGCCATACGTGGCTCGCTAAGCTTTAATTGGTGGCTCACAAGCTTATACCAAAAATAGTAGCACAGCCCATATATTTTTTCAAATGTGCTACATATAGTGAACTTTGCAACACAAACATCTGCATTACACTCAATATAAATCAAGGCTTAATTAATGTTTTTTTCTAAAGGGGTAAAGGGGGCACCATGACACCAGCAACCAGTGATGCACAGATCCATGTACAAACAACCCGTATCGAATCAATGTTTACAACTAATCCACAAGCAACTCTGACTGCAAAAACATATTTGTAATTATTGTACCCAACCCGCTGTCTGACCCGGATTTTAGGAAGTGGTCCATGCTCTTTATTAACATCATCTAAATAAAGAGACCAACATAAATAAAGTGAGTGAAATGACTATTAAATAAAGAGCTGTGCTAAACCTGCACACGTCTGATCTCTGAAAACATGAACCATCTCCAACGCGATACACGCACAGAACAGACTCACCATGAGCAGCACATCCCTCTGTCACAGAAAGAACACTCATATTCCACTGAGTCGTGTTCTTTAGTCCGACAGAAGCTGAACCGCATCAGCGCACAAGGAAAGCTGTTTTTTTCAGGATTAGGTTTATGCAGATGAGCCATGTGGTTTTAAGTTTCGGTTTCGTAAAATGTAAACAAATGTGTCAAAGCTGCATTAAACACATTATCATTTCAAACGGGCTGATGTGGCTCTATAGTGGTTATGGTTTATATGTTGTAAAGTTGAGTATATTTATGCAGATTAGTAATAGTAATAATGCATCCCATTTTTCGCTCATCCCAGTATTGAGGTAAATCTGGTTTTAAATGAAAATGTATTGGCTGCGTTTCTTATTTGTGGGATGTAGAAATGCATATTTGCAAAGGTGACTTGGTATGTTGGCGTATTTTGGGTATAAGTGGCTCTCCTCTTGATTTTGCTCTTCCAATGTGGCTCTTGTGAAAAAAAAAAGTGAGTATCAATACTGTATGGTATTAAACAGTGTCT